TTAATTTAAATGAATTACGGTACTCATTTTCTCACCATGAAGCCACAACAGCAAACACTGAGAACACTATTGTAAAAGAAGTTGTATATTCTGAAGGATAGTCATGTATAATTCATTACTTGTTAGGGTAACTGTCCACAAGCTAGTTTGTGTTTAATTCTGATTTTTATATACTTACCCGTGTCAGGTAAAAGGCTCTATAATCAGAAAAGGAATAATTGATCAAGAAAATTTTCTCAAGAATCTTAGTTTATTAGTTGTGTAACTGCTACGTTAGAAATTTTGTAAAGAATTTGACAGTTTATTGGTTATGGAACTGCTAATTTAGAAATTTCTGTTGATAATTTGACAGTTTATTGGTTGTGGAACTGCTAAGTTAGAAATTTCTGTTGATAATTTGACAGTTTATTGGTTGTGGAACTGCTAAGTTAGAAATTTCTGTTGATAATTTGACAGTCCATTGGTTGTGGAACTGCTACATAAGAAATTTTGTCAAGAATCTGACAACTTACTGGTTTGAAGTAAGTAGGGTTTCTAAATAGTGGATAGAAGGACAAGGTGGTAACTATCTGTGGTCAAGAAATTCCATACTTTTTCTATTTCTCAGATGCTATGAAAGATGTTGACCAGTAGCTACAAAACTTAGCATATATTTCCCTTTTATTACTAAATATTTTCTTATTCTTTCTATGGTGTTTATATTTCATTTCTGTTTGGATTAGTTTCCTGTCTTTTTAATACTATATTTTTTATTTAGTGTTTATTAATGGACCTCTTTCGGGCTGTAATTTTATTCCACATATAGTTTTACATGTAGTGCTCATTTCTTCTTGTCTAAATGTTTTTTGTTTTGTTTTTTGTAATAGCTTGCAAAGTGTAAAGGAACGAGTGTAAGTTGAATAGGTATTTCTTGCTTAACGTAATTATAATTTGTAGTTGTTGTTTATATCAAATTTCTTCCAATATTTTTAACATATATTAAGCTGCTTAGATACGTATTAAATTTACCATATCTTTAAATTAACCATAGATAAAATAGGGGATATTAATCATGAGAGACCCAAAGTTGTCAGTATTAATTTTAACAGTGATGGTTTGAAATGTTTAAATTATTTTATATATTATAAAAAAAAAGATTAGATAATTCGCTCATTGGTCTATGGAAAGTATTTTATTACATCTTTTTAGTAACAGAGCCTCTCTTTTAACCTGGCAAACGGAATTCACTGTAATACATCTACATGATGGTCACATACCTTCGGTAATTAATTTTGCACTTACAAAAAATTATTATAAGTCACATTTTGCCTGCTAGAGTTTGAAAGCTAGGTGTTTTTTATAAAAGACACAAAATTTGAATAAAACTTTAATTTCTAAAAATGAAAATCAATATCGATATATAATAAACTTTTGTGTAACATAACAACTCAAAGTGTAAGCATTCATAAAAAGCTACAGAAATGTATTTTCAGTGCAATACATATTCACATTACAGCTATGCTTAAGAACACTTTGTTTAAAGCTGGGTTGTAAGTTGCAAAAAAAAGCTCTAAACAAAAGTTTATTAATTTCTTCCAACTACTAATAATAAATCCATTTTGATGTAAATAATTTATTATACCTGGGAGACTCTTCCACAACTTGTGGCTCATTCTCTTCTTGCTCATTTTGTTCAGCTTCAAGCTCTCTCTGTTCTTCCTCCAATATTCGTTGCTCTTCCTCTTCTTGCTCTTTCCTTCTCATCTCTGCTTCCACTCGACGCATCTCTCTTAAAGCTGCTGCAACTTCTCGAGCAAACATACCTCGTATAAAAGCCTAAAATATCATAATCCCAAGATTATTTCTATTAGAAAACAAAACATTAAATAAATATTAATACTGAAAATTATATAATACATTTAAATGGATTCTTGTATATTTTTGACTCAAAATAAAAACCCCGAATCCAGATTTTGTTACAGTTGTCACACATAGTTTCAGAAAACATTATCATTCTTATCAATAATTAAAGTTGATAAAAAATTTATATCAATTTGTTTTTCCTAATTTATTGTAATACATAATAACCCTTTACAAGTAATAGTGTTTGTAATGTGTATTAAAATTATTAGTCAAATCCTCAAGAGTAAAACATGAAAGTCTTGTGTCTAAAAATTCCAAAAATTAATTTCAATCTCCTTGTTCCTTGGAAGCTTTACAAAGCCAATAAAATACATACATGTTTGTAATTTTTTAGGCTCCTTTATAACCCAGAATTTTAAAAGCTCAATAATGATACATCAGAGTTTAACAGAAAAGTCCCAAGATTATGGATTTTCTTGAGAATGTAAGCACAAATAAGGACATGAAGGAATAGTAGAATGCTATTGTGTTTTATTCCTTTATTTTATTTATTACAAATTTATTGTATCATTAGTATTTAAGCCTGAGGTAGGTAATTTACAAAAAACATGGAGTTTGTCACAGACAAGTATTTTACTTATTTATTTATCATTTAAATCTGAGGTATTAAAGAATTTTCAAGTTAAGCACAAAGCTGCACAATGGGCTATCTGTGCTCTACCCACCACGGGTATTGAAACTTAGTTTTTAGTGTTGCAAGTCTGACTGGTCTACTGGGGAGCAAAAATCTGAGGTAGGTACTTCACACTATTTCTACCAGATTGGTTTGGATTTCATACTTTTATGTTTCCAGGCTTATTTATATTGTAAATACAGGTAGGCCTAAGGTAGCAACATTAGGTCCAACAATGCAGATACTTACTTTTTGTAATTTTAGCTTTCCTGAATGATAGTTACTTTAACATAGACCTACCAAACTTTGGTAAAAGTTCAGTATTTATATATAACATAGATATTATTATTATTATATTATAATATTTAATACATTATGTACGAAATAATATATATCAATTAAAGTATAAGACTGCTTAGAATTAGAAGGGAGGGCAAAAACTTTAGCTAGCCTAATTTGTGTTGTCTTTTTAAAGTCAAAGGACAGTTGCAACTTAAATCTCTTTGTTGGGCTATATTATTAGAGAAACTTGTATGAGGATATTATTGAATGAAGGAGAGCTGGTGCCAAGCTCATCAGTGTATAATAGCAGTGGAAGCCATAGTATTAAATCATCTTTATTATATTGGGTACTTGGTGTTAAAAAATATATTTTTTGTTTATTTAGTACAAACCTACATAATAAACTACATACAGTCTGTCCACCATGACATGCTCAAAATGCATATTTTAGCATTGTAAGTCTGTAAACTTACTGCTGACCAAAAATATATTTATAAAAATAATAATGAAATTAATAAAAATGATTAAAATTGTCATATTAAAATAAAATGAAATAAATACACATATTATACAAGCACGTATGTGGTTTTTGCTGCCAACCAGTTTTATCCCTGTAATCAGTGATTTGGAATTAAAGAAAACTCCACATTACCTCGTCAGTACACTGACAAACTGATACAACAGGATACTTACTGGAGGAAGTAGAACCTGTTGTTCAGCCAGTGCTATTCTCCACTACATTTAATTATCATTCCTTTCATTAATCTTTATAACGATCTAAAGGGTGCTGTGAAAGAACTTTTTGAGCTATATTAATAAGTACTAATTTACCACATAATTAGATGTAGATTTAATTACACTGTTACCAACTGTTAAGCAATAGGTAAGTTCAATATGTCATGTTTAGTTTAAATACATTACAGAGTTATCAACTACATAAGTTTAGTATTAAGTACAGGTTTAGTTTGTGCTTTGGTTTTTTCCTACTTAAAGCGTTACTATGTGTTCATTTAAGCTTAGTATAGTGTCAATGTCAGTTAAAGCTCTAGCACTTACTTTTAGATTTATTGTGAGTTGAATTGTAAGTAAAAATTATCATTAATGTTAGAGTTACCTTAGTTTAATTTTAGCACATGCTAAAGCAGGGACTAATCTGTTGGTAAGCTAAGTCCCATTGTTAACCATTAACCACTTAAGAGCCTTGTTGGGTGCAATACTAGGGTTGATGACTCTGTGGAATATGGGATATAAATGGCCAACACAACTTAAGTCTGTAAGCTGTACCATACAGTGTCACACATACAGCATAGGTTGATAGATCTTCAAGCAGAGAGGATACTTTGCCACACTGTTACAAGAGGATGTCATAAGAATGGCTGATCAGCATAAGGTTCTACAGCAGGGAAACATTTTAATCGTGGGAAGGTATCTTTTATCCTATTGGACAGTGTGCACCCACTTCAATAATGGCAATCCTATTCTAACAGGTTACTAAACTGCCATTACTCACCTCCTTTGTTAGTGCAGACAGAGCTAAGAACAGGATTTCGAATGATGGTTAATGTGCTGCCTACAAACAATGATACACTGAAAAACATTACCCCAACAGGTGTATGCAGAAGAAACAGAGATTGTGTACTCAGTAGGGGGCCTCCACATGCCAGCAGTAGAAGGAAAAGAACAAGAAAACTGATGTCTAAACATCAAGCTGGTAAACAAACAATACATTTATAAAATGTTCAGACTCCACTAGTCTCACATATGAGAAGTTACTGAAATGTTATGGAGGCCAAAAAAAAGCAAATACTGTCGTTAGAAACTCTTTGGAGTTTATGATATTGTACTTTTTTAAGAGAATAAACTCTCAGACCCTGAGCAGTTCACTCTCAGTGCCTTTAACTTAATAACAAATGCTGACTCAGAGGCTGAGATGGCCATTGCAATTTGACAGAATTGCTATGAGCATTACGATAGCTCTCAGGGGAAAAATCACTAAGGTGCACAAGAAAGGTAATACAGCACATGATGCTGAAGATTGGAGGTTCCTGCCTGACAATACTCCTATGCATCTAATAGTAGAAGCCTTCAATGCCAGACATTTACCTGGAATACAGATAAAAACACTGATGGTAAATTTACATTATGCTCTCCACAGTATAGCCATCAACCTTATAATATTAAACTCAGGTGAACAACAAAACATTGTTGACTGCCAAGGTGACAAAGACTCTCTTAGCATAGAGGACACAATGTCTACAATGAACCCTTCATATCTGAAGTGCACTTGGAAATAGGAAGACAAAGTGGACTTAATTTCATGCTACTTTACCATGTTACAACCTTTTCAATTTCATTGGAATACAAATTTCATATTTCTTATTTGTTTTCCTTTTATAGGGTACTAGAAAAAATGTATTTCATTTTGTTAGTGTATATTCCAAAAACCTTACAGAAAAAAATTAAAGTGCAGGTAATCTTCAATACTCAATTACATTTCGAACTAGCTTTAAACAACATAGATTGCTCAAGAAACACACCTGTACAGTTATTGCTGCTCGTTTCATCCGAACAAATCGTATTCGTTGCTTGTGACCCCTGAAGTATCGTTGAATTGTAACAGCTGCCTGACGATGGTATAGAAACACTAGAAAAACATACTTGGTTTGTGACTTTTAAGCAATTAAATAATGGATATTTATTACTAAAAATATTTTTATTCAAAAATATTGAAAGCTAATAAAGTAATTATAAACCAATACAGTGTGTAATAGTTCACCTTTTCTGGAAAAAAATGAATAAATTCATAAGGAAAAGTTCTGACAATTCAGAAAAATAAACAGCTCTACACACTGTAATTTAAAAACGTTAATGTTTTGAGCAGCCCTGAAATATATATAAAAACATCATTTGTATTAGATGGCCTTTAATTCATAATTGAAGGCATAGGTTCTAATGAATAATAAATAATGCAATATATCATAATTCACTGAAATACAGAATCTTAAAACCTTACAACAACACAAATGTTGTTTTGATAAATAACAACTTTCTTAAAGAAAACTAAAAACAACCAATCTATTAGATAATAAAACTAGTATAAAGGGCATTTAAAATTTTCAATCTATTTCATACATTCTGAACTCAAATATAATTATAAACAAAATACATCACAAATGGTGAGGAAAACAAACAGTATAACAATATTTTTACTTTTTCTCTGAACATATCTTCTCCAATGTTTCTGTATTACAATAGCCATTGTCTTGAGTAGAGCCTTTCTACTATCTTCTAATGGTTCATGAACACAACCTCTCAAAAAAACCTATAAATCAATATTGAAGTTGTAGTTTATGACAAAAATATATTGCAAAAATATTTAAAATGTTTGATTTTTATTAGGATATTTAAAAGAAAATAGTAAATCTCAATGTTCTATTAATAATGCTTGTATAAAATGCACAAAGCAAAGAATATAAAAGCTATAAAAAGTCAAAAGCACTGTTGTAAAATAATCTGAACCATTCCTTTTGATTAAATATTATGTAAATTAAGCAATCAATGGTGAATCACATCATCTGAAATACAAATTATTGGACATCCAGCCTATGCTATATATAGCATACATTCTTTTCTCTCAGATTTTATTTTGAAGAGAATTATACAGTTTAAAGTTCTCCAGATTCCTGAAGAACCATGGATGGACCTCAAAGGAGACATTGGGATGTATCACTCTTATGGGAAGCCATGGATGAATAATAGTCAGTAAATCACAGCATGTTACTGAGAATAGAATACAAGTATCTCAAAGTGCCACTAATAGAATATGGGACCATTTCCAAACCATTGGCACACCTGGACAATGAAAACTGTTATCAACAACATTCAGATGATTGCTATATACTGATTGTGGCTTGCTTATAGATACACTTAAGTGTTCCATGCTCCAAGATCAAGTCAGATGTTAATAGATTCAACTGACTAGTATGTCATTTTACAGATGATTAGAAAGGCTTCACTAGGTAGGCTTTTACATCATATAAACAATGGGGTGCATTTCACCCACAACAAAGTATGAAACAGCTCAGTAGCATGTGTAACAATAGTATTTTTACAAAAAGAACTAAACATCACCCAGCAGATGAATAAAATGTGTATATTTACCTGGAAAAATTTGGAACTAGATCAAACTTTTTTTTCATACAAGAACATGATAAATATGGCAATGGATGTATGGTTTAGGTAAGAATAAGCATTGGTTAGATATATCAACTTCAGGGATAGAAACCAGCTTTTTGGCCAATGGCAAATGTTTGCCAGTTATTTCAAAAGTTACTGGCAAAAGTGAAGGACACAATAGCAACATAAAAAAAAGGTAACTGTCTTAAAAACATAAACATTACCATTAATTTGCAATAAAACTTGTATATCGTGCTGGTCTAGCTTGCACAGGAATTGTAACTGCTGTATAAGTGTCAGAGTCCATTTTTTGCAGGCCTTTTTCTGTATCTCATGGCTCATTTCATTTTCTAGATTCTGCTACACAGTGAGCAATAAGCAATCTCATATGCAGTTTTATTGAGTTCTTTTTCAACATTCTTGGTACCAACAACATAAAATGTTGTTTTGATAGGCAGCATTGTTGACATACTTGGCACTATATGGCCTTGATAGCATCTTGCTTGTCTATCTTTATGTTATATTTCAATCATTCAGTTTTATACTTTGCAAATGGCTTTGTGGACAGCTTTTGCTTATCAGGAAACCTTTATCTTTTTTCTAGGAGCTGTTAAGAGGATGGCATGCTTCTCTGAAGTTGAAGAACCCGCAACAGCTTCTGAAGCTGCAGTGTTAATTCATCAAATGTTGAGAATATGTTTGAAGTCCAACAAGAATGAATGAAGAAATAATATAAAGTTATTCGTTAATAGAATGTTTGAACAAGTATAAATATGTAAACAAATTTTCAAATCAGATCAATAGGTTTGGTTTGGTTTGTTGTTAAGCACAAAGATACACAGTGGGTTATCTGTGCTCTGCCCACCATTAGTATCAAAACTTGAATTTTAGAGTTGTAAGCCTGCAGACTTATTGCTGAGCCACTGGGAAGCATCAGATCAATAATAATAAAAAAGCATAAAAAAATACAAAACTGAAAACAATATAAAAATTACATTTGTGAAGGAATTTAACTAAACTCACATTAAGATGTTAGAAGTAAGGTTGCATTTTAAAAGATATACAGGTCAATATAATCATTATTAATGGTGGATTTCTATCCAGTAATTGAAAATGTAAATGCCTCAAAATTAGATCTGATATTCGAGTAAGTAATTTTATTCTTTGCTGAGAGACCGATCTTCTTATTCCTCACTATATAACCAAGTGAAACGAATGATTTTTGAGCCCTTATAATGGCTGGTTTTTATGATGCAACTAATAAACCACAAAAAAGTGCATTACAAAAACCAGCCTTTAGCAGATGTAACTACTTAGCTGACATAAATTATTATTTCAAAGAAATGTTATATTTTTCATTTCATATTGTTAGCCCTTTCTTGACCACAAGGGTACTATAACAGCACCCCAAACATATCTTAAATTCTCTCCATACAAGTATATTAAACCAAACTGTATGAAACCAGGTACAAGTTGTTGAAATAGTATCTAGTTTCTGCATGAAAAACGAAAATCATAAAATGATTTAGTGTATGTATGATTCTTTACACTATAAAGATGTTGAAATTTTATTGATTGAAGCAGTGAGCTTACTTCTATAAATTATATAAGGACTGACAAAGATTTACTGGTGACCAATGGCCTCACCTTTCAAAATGGTGTCACTGTTACTGTTATTGAGTGTCAAAGCATGATATTGTGTTTCAAGAACAATTCTTTTAGTCAAGAACAATTTATATCTAATAGTTATAATTTGTTTCTATAAATAAGAAGCTCTCATATATTGTTCTATTTTAATACATGAAATTTAAAAATACATTCAATAAAAAAAAATTCTATCATTTGAATAATTTACAGTTACAGACTTAACCAACCATGCTCACCACTATACTATCATGAATAGTTTACAGTTACAGACTTAACCAACCATGCTCACCACTATACTATCATGAATAGTTTACAGTTACAGACTTAACCAACCATACTCACCACTGAACTATCAAATTTTAGATTTATGTTTGTGTTGAAAGTTGTGCTTGCAGCCAGCTTTCTTTATAATTTTGACCACTGTTATAGCTAATCAAAGTGCCACAAATATTAACCAGCAAAAAAGATAGGCTCAGAAAATAAACCCAATAACTCAAGCACTTTTAGAAAATTAATTGGGTTTCTTTTCTGATCCTAACTTTTTCTGTTGATCCTGCATGTTTTTTAATGTTCCAACTAGCAAAAACAAGAAACTACCATTTTATTTGCTGAACACAAAAACCCATTTACGTTTTGCCAGTAGCCACCATTAATTTCGAGCCCTGGATCTCTAAATCTTGTGGAACAATACCACAAATTATAAGAACTATATCCTACAACACCTTGTGCTGTCATATGCCAGTGCAATTGGCCCTGTCTTCATCCTAATATCTGATAATGCGTCCATCTCCATCACAAGAAGTATGTTTGACTAAAGGGAATAGCTTGTCCATTCACTAGATCTCATTCCATCAACATGTATGAAAAACTCTTGAGAGAAACTTCACATCCTGTCAAGTAAATTCAAATGCTAAAGATGCTGTAAAAATAACTCTTTTCAGAAATGGGAGTGGCCGAGAATACCTCACAACATTATCAATACTTTGATTTTACATGTGCAACATTGCTGTCAGGCTGCCACTGCTGTTCATAATTACCGTCCTCCATATTAAATTGTATTGTCAGAAAATGTGAAGATATACATTCGCTTCTACCAAAACATTTACAAGTGTAGGTTGAATGACCGATCATTTGCACATGATTGATCACCAGATATCTGATTTCCACAAAAAAAAAAAAAAGGATTGAGGAATTACTGACATTATTTTATACCAATGTGTTTTTTTTTTGCTTTGTTATAGCTAAAATATTGAAAATTCCAATTATCTTTCAACTGTTTTGTAAAGCTTATTAGTAACTGAATAAAGAAGTACCTATCTTTTCTGTTTAACACTTTTATGCACATAATCAAGCACTAAATCAACAATCTAGAAAATGTTGTAATTACTTAACCTTTTATTTATATTTTACAACTTAATTGTGACACATGCCAGAATATAAATCAGATAACTCATAAAGCCTATTGCAAGAACAATCACAAAATCATCTGTATGGTACCCTAGGTCTTTAATGAACAGTCAAACATTTATATTAATATAATTGTATCTATGTACATTATTTCATGAAAAAAATGCCTTAATTATAATGTAAAGACATTGGAAACCAGATCAATTTTTATTGTTTAGGCTTAGAGATTTTTGTAAGTTAAAAACATGAACAGTTTACCATGTTAAAAACAAACTTAGTATGAAATTATTGAGAAAACTAACATATACCTTTGTTTTCCCAATTTGCCATTCTGTTGTATCTACATTAAGAGACTTTAGGATGATCTCAATTGCTTTATAATATTCTAGTGAGTGATCTAAATTCCGAACCAAACATCGATACTTCTGAAGAAATTCCACAAAAGGAAGGTGAATTGGGAAGCCCTTTGAAACAAAAATCAATTATGAAACATAAAAGTATTATTATTTTTTATTTATAAAATCCAAACAGAAATGCACATATAAACACACATGTGCTTACATCTACAACTTGGAACACAGATAAAATAAATGGCCTTAGAAAATCTAAAAATATTGAAAGAAAGCCCATAAACTGTTATGTCTTATTGATCCCAAGATCAGAACAAGATACAGTAAGAGAATGGAAAAAAAAACACATATTTCTTGCAATTTTTTATTATTTTACATTAAACAGTGATGTCATTTAAAATATGTATTATACCAATAACATTTTAAATATGCAATCTTAGTGCAGTTCCTATTTATGATTAGATACTATTCAAATAATATTTTTGTAATTAAAAAAGGTTTAAGACCATGAAATATTAGATTAATATATTTCTAAATAAACTTTCTTCAAAGAATGTATGATAGGAGTGTCATAATTCAAAGGGGCAAAAATATAAAAAGTTTGCTCTTTTGTTGCTGTACAATTTTTGTTACTTATAGCACTTTGTTCATTTACGATTTATAAACTGATTAGAATCCAAGCACAGCAAAACAAAAAAAATAACAAATGTATTTATCCAGAAGAATAAAATAATACTACAACTACAACGTTTACTTAAAACAAATATAAAAGACTTGAGAATAAATCTGAATAACACGAAAACTAAAATTACCTCTTTCCGGATCCGGATAATATCTAACATTCCCAAGTATCGAAGCTGCAACAATACTTGTTCTATATCATAATTGTTTGGTAATTTTTTGGTATTAGGTTTTATGCAGCGTACATACCTAGAATAGAAATATATTTAAGTACACCAATATTGAAGCATCTACGGGTTTAACTGCAAACTTCTTAATTTTTATTAAAACTGTATTATAAGTAATATTTGGGGTGCAATCTATTAACAAATCATTTTTTGATAAGCTACATTATTTATTATATTTTTATATTATTGAGTGTATCCTATTTAACTTAAAAACTTGTTTTGATTATGTAACTTAAGGCAGCCTTGGATATTTCTGTAAATATGTTCTGCTCTCTAAACCAATTTGGTGCAACAGTCGTGCACTGAGCTAACAGCACAATTTAGAACATTTACTTGCTCCAAATTTAGAAGTTATTGTCTTTTAGAAGCCAGTTTTTATTCATTAAAATGGTGCCATTCCTCCCCCAGTAAATGCACAAACTATACCAACCATAGTATATGCACAAACTGAACCAACCCTAGTAAACATAAATTATGAATGTCATCTTTACATATCTTCACAGACTATAGCACCTTTTTAAAACCAAAAGTTTATGAACCAATGCAGCTTCATGTAACTTTCTTTTTAATAATGGCAAGACTATCTATTATTAAGGTTGATTTTAAATAATAGTATATTCATACTCCATGGTCATTTTACTACAAAATAAGGCAATGTTATTTCATAAAGGTATTTTTTTTAGTCTCAATAATGTTATTCCTTATGGCTGATTTTAAGGACTTTCTTGTTCAGTTTAACAATTTCTTTCATTTTATTTTAATTACTTCATGCACTTGTTTGCTTAAAGTTAACAACAGTATTATGAAGAAAATAGTAGGCATACATTATATTTACTTAGTCCAATAAAACTTTATTTATTTAGAAACCTTGTGTGTGTGTGAATTGGGGAGATATTTGACTATTTTATTATACATGTGATTTGCCAAGCAGTCTTGGCCTGTAGCATTTCATGTAGTCTTTTTCATTCTTGTATGACAACTCACTGCACTTCACAAGTTTCTTTGTTTTCTTGAATGTAGCAAAAATTACCCAGTAAAATTAATTGGCAAAATATTTGATTTCCACTTACATATGAGAATAAAGGAGAACTAGCAAAAAATCATATTTTGCCATAGAGTGGACATTCATGAAGTTATGCCACAAAATATGTGAATTTATTCTTGAAGCATTTTAATAGTTTCCTTTATTAAATTTATCTGAGTAATGGAATTATAATATAAAGACCATAATATCATAAAAGAATGGATAAATATAAAACAAAACTACACCAAAACACAATGACTAAAATTTATCAACTTTTACCAACAACTATACTTTGTCTGACCATATTTATTTAAATTTCATTAACCTTAAAATTAAATTGAAACTACAGAATGTACAACCTTATATTTCATCATATTAACACAATGTTTTGAGAAAGAAACTAGAAGGGCTTTACTTATAATGGAGACTAATACAAAAAATATGAAAAATAAAAGTTGTCTATCAGAAAAATAAAAAAACTTTTATGACTCACTCATTTTTAAAAGTGGAATAGACAAAATTAACATAATCAATAAAACATACTCAATGATCATAACTTCAACTTGGAAATACATTTTCTTTAGAATACAGTATTTCTGAAAATAAAACTTTTTAAAGACATATGCTGCTTCCACGACGGACAACAAGGCATCAAAATTGGTTAAAGTAATAAATGTTATAAAATTCATAAAACTGCTTTATGGGATTGTATAAATACTAGTTACCAAGGGTTAGTTGAATGCAAAAGATCTACTAGAGCAGTCAACTGATATCTGAAGGCATCAGCAACAGTTGGACGACCTTTGGTCAACGTGCGAGAAATAGTACTTGCTCCACTGCCTAAACGGGCTATGGTAACCCCCAGCAAATCCTGCCATACAGTATTCAAGAAAATACACTATTTTTAAGCAAATAAACTAAAAATTAGGCCACTTGATTTAGAAATATTTAATTTCATATTTTTGAAAAAAAGTACTATAAACACAAAAAATACACAAACTTTATTATTGTTGATTCCAAAAATAATAGAAATTTATATGTATGATCATACATCATAAAACTCACTATTTTAGCAAAAGCCATAACCTATACTATAAATACAATATATAAGGGATGTATAAAATCACAAACCCGAAATTTAGTAAGGTCTTGAACAAAAACACTGGAAGACTTTTGCATTAGTTCAAAAAACTGATCCTGTTGGACATCTTTATTTTTCTCCAAGAAACCATCAACTTTGTAAATCACATCTCCAGCATAATGTTTAATACCAAACTCTAGGTCCCAACGTCGACGATCTTCACCACGAATGTAATTAATATGGCTTTCAAACTCTTGGTGAAGTTTGTTAACGTAACTACAGTCAGTTCCCTGTTTCATAAACAAAAACAAAAACATTGCATTTCCAGAAAAATCTTATTTTCTATCATCAAGTTATATATGTATATATAATTTGTCTTATCTTCAACAAATTATCAGATGACATAAAAATCAAGCAGTGAATATTTTAAAACTAAGCTTTACGAAAATCTTATGTATTTACTTGGATTTTACAAACTACATGGATAACAAAAAGCATGAATTACATTTTATCTTTCATTTTGAATAAAATTGTTATTTTAATACAGGAACAAAACTCACTTTTGGTACTGTGCACTCTTCTGTTAAAAGCCTTAATACACATTTTGGTGGCTAAAAGAGAAAAGTTGAATGAAAGGTACTATACTGATTACCTTAATTTTATTTGTTATTATAAACATATCTCTAAGAATATCATAACAAAATACAAGGGGAAAATATTTTCAGTTTAGCAAAGTCAAGAAACTTCATTAATTGTTCTTGAAAACATTAACAAAATTACTAAATTTCTAACAATTGTCTTCCTTTGATTGGGACATTTTCTTGTTCTTTTTTTCCAATATTTAAAAATGTTTTTGAAACCTTTAATGCATAAACATGACAAGACAAACATTCAAAAATAATAGACTAGTATAAAACGTATTGATATTTGGTTCGTTATGTGCAATCAAATTTAAATGTTTTACTGCAGTTGATTTATATTTAATATGAATTATTTTCCCAAGCTAACTTATAGACACTAAATTCTTCACACAACTTCCATTTTAGTAACAACAGTAATTTTGTTTTGTTATGAATCTATGCACACGTTAATTATAAAAATTAAGTTAGGCTACAATACTACGTAACAAAAGATGTTGGTTTAGTATCAGACAAAATTGCAAACATTTGAGCAATTTATGAAAATCAGCATAAAAAAAAATTCAAAAATTTATATATATATGTCAACAATTAGTTGAAGCAAAAATATATTCTGATTCATTGTATTGGGATTGTTCTACTGTACCAGATTATTTCAGATGCACTGGCAGCAAACCAGCAATATTATACAAGAAATATAATTTCAGAAATTTTGAAGTCTTGTTAAAGCAATGCTACAAAATATTTGTTTAAAATATTATTTCAGCTAAAGTAAAAGTATTTATATTAATCATATTCATTTGAGAAGACTGGCTTACTGTGAAAAATAATACATCTATCTCACTTTGTGAACTATGTGCCAAGGAAATCTGGAACCTTTTAATTATAATCTTCCAATGATGTTCTCGAAATTAAATATATAAAAAGAATTGACTGTCGATTTTCATAGTAATTATTGAAAACAAATCAAATAAGATAAATCTCTTTATTTAACCAAATATGAAGAAATTTGATCCTACTATAAATTATCTTTGTGTTTATGTGCATAAGCTGTCACTCACCTTTTCTAATAGCTCAAGACAAGCGGAATTGTCTGTAAAAGTGATGTGAGAGAAGGAAATTTCTTCCTGTCTGTACTGTAAAAATATCAATTCCAATACATCAATGTAAACCATCAAGAATTTCAGTATGCAGTTACTAACAACATAAGTATACTTCATGTAAAAAAATATGAGATTTGTATTTAGTTTCTTCAGTAATGAATAGCTCTTTTGGTAATTCAATTCTCTTAGCAACAGGATAAAGAACATGAACTAAATGATATACAACAGAATATTTTTCAATATCATAAACTTGCTAAATGACATTAAAGCCTAAAAATAGGTTATAGACATATGTACAATAAAATATTCCTACACACTATTTGTTAATGGTTTTAAAATGTAATTAATAAACACATTAGTTCAGCACACAAGAAAAACTGCTTCTGGACTTGAGAACTAAATTTCTTTGTTAGAATATTCATACGTTTTTGGATTGGAAAGTGAATTCAATTACAAAAATAATCACATTATAATAAGAAAATAATGTTACCGTTTCTTGTTCCAGGGCAAACACGTAGTGGTTGAAGAACTTATGTAGTTTTTCATTAGTGAAGTTGATACATAGTTGTTCAAAGCTGTTTACCTAGAAATTATTTATAATACCAAAGTTTTAAGACAGCAAGAAATATATTTCAAATATTATAGTTGTTAAATTGTGTGAGTGAAAGAACAGAGAGAGAAAAAAAGGTTCTTACACTTATTTTCCTACTTGTCCTTAAAGTTATATGCTTTGCTTTTTATCTTGTTACTGTATACATCTCACTATCCAGTATTTTACTTTATTTTTCATTTACTCTTACTGAAAATTCTAAATTCTAATATAGTCTGAGGTGCTTTTCAAGACCACTTTATGATCTATTTGAGGTCTAAAATCAACAGTTGTAAAGGTTCTAACATATACCAAAGCACAAACTGTTTACAAATTTCATATATTGCACACACACACTTTTTTTTTATCTATATATAAAACTGTAGGTTTTACAGAAAATACACTTCAACAATCTAAATGAATTTAGCAGCATGCAGACCATTATCTTTACCAATTGCACTATCAATTTCATAGACCAAAGTACACAAGTATATATATATAAACACTTTACAGTTTAGAAGAGAAGCTGATGCACCAAACTGTGCATCATTACAATTTTTTTTATAAACAAACTACTGTAAGCTTAAGAAATTTAGATTAAATTTTATTCTACTACCCATTTAGTCTCACAAGTACTCTTAAATGTAGATCTGTTATTGAGTTAATTATCGTTTTCCAAGTTTATATCTTTTGTAGTCTTTCTGCAACCAATATAAATTTTTGTTTTCGTATTATGTACCTCAACATCTGAAACAGCCTTAACAACGAGAACAAAGGAGAATTTTTCAAATAATCTAAAACATACAAAACTATCTTTGAAAAAAAATCATCTTGATAACAAAATAAGAGGTAAGTTATGAGTGATGAAGTCAGTTAATTTAAACATTACATTTCAATCGACAATTTAAAAATGAAATTAATCTCTGCAAGAATTACAAGAAATGTCACTCATATTCAACAGTTCAGAAAACAAAAAAATATTTTGCCAATACTTTAAAATTATAGCTTACTCTGAAAATTGTAATGGTTATATATATATATATATGTAAAGTATTTTATATAACTATTTTCTATAATTGTATGTTAATCACATTTTTGATATTGTTATCATCAGCCGATCTGCTTTTTAAAAACTCCATTATATTGTCAATTATCTGTTAAAGATCAATAATGCTTTCTTAAGCAAATGAGGACATCTTGATATTTGTATCATAGAACTTTTGTTTCGCAGATCTATGTCCCCAGAAAAGTGTTACACTTTATCATCTTATATGTTTCTTCTACTCTTTGAACCAAATCTTCATTTCTGTTGCATGTGTTTGTATGATTAAACTATTCTTAGACAGCAGTGCTCTGAAGTACCTGTACATTACTTATCCAGTCCACTTTAAAAGTACTGTTTTCAAACATAAAATTATATAATATATATAGAAACAAAACTTTAATTAATTTCTATGTTCTGTTCACAGAATTAAGAAATAAATATATATTTTTTCATATGGGTTAAATAATTTGTAGTTAAGGATTTGTTGGATTATCTGTTTCAACCTAGAGTAATATTTGATGTAATTAAGTTTGTACTAACATAATATAATAATAATAAAAGTTTATCTTTGCTTAATATAAGTAAGGGCAACTTATTTTTATTATATTTTATTCTGTGGCTTATTTGTTCTTAGTTTATTCAGTGATGATTTTTTGTGCAGCGGTTATCACTAGCACATATGTGCTTTCATAGTCGTATTGAAGGTTATTTCTAAAATTTACTTAACTGATCTTACTAGAGGAAATAGAACAGTGGCATAACTTTTCATATGAATGACCTAAAATTGAAAGAAATCTTAATATAAAATTTTACCAGTAAATAATGAGTATCATATTGATCAAATATATGTTTATGTATCACTCTGATAATATCTCATACTTACTTCATTTTAGCCCACACAAATCTGATTTCATGTTCACTTATGATTCATAATTATTGACTTTAGATTCATTAGACTCCACAGATTCTTAGTTTCTACTCACCTCCAGCATTACAGCATATGATAAACCCATTACACTTCAGTAAAGCATGATTAACTACTCTATGTGTGTTTTTAGATATCTAATTTAGCTATTATTGAATGTTAGTAAAAATTCTTCTATTGGAAAATTTAATAAATTGTTTTCCCAGCAAGAGACTGTATATGACACAATTATGCATATAAGTAGCTGCAATCAAGTTATATACTTAATGAGAATATTTTCATAATCTTATTGTTGGATCTGACTAACAACAGCAAAGACTTATTAATGAGTTACCATTCAAAAGAATGGTAAAACAAACATCTGAAAATTAAAAAACACTATGACTTGATGTTATAAATTATAAGATAGAGTTAATAAGTTTCTACATTATTCAATTGACAAATATGAAATTCAAAATAGAACATGTTCAGAAGTCAGAGAAGTTATCATGTTACCAATAATGCAGTTCTGAAGACAGAGTGCTCACCATAACTCAAAATTTTATTATTTGCATTTGTGTAGGAAGCAGGGAGGGGGACACCTCCCCACTTTCAAGCTGTTTCAGCCAAAAATGCATCAAAATTAAGAAAATTACTCTCAGAAAATGGAGGAAAATGCATAAAATTCAATACAGAATTC